GATACTGTACCACTATTTATATTGAGTGATACTGTACCACTATTTATATGAGTGATACTGTACCACTATTTATATGAGTGATACTGTACCACTATTATATGGTGAGTGATACTGTACCACTATTTATATTAGTGATACTGTACCACTATTTATATGAGTGATACTGTACCACTATTTATGTTAGTGATACTGTACCACTATTCATATTAGTGATACTGTACCACTATTTATATGAGTGATACTGATACTGTACCACTATTCATATGAGTGATACTGTACCACCACTATTTATGTTAGTGATACTGTACCACTATTTATATGAGTGATACTGTACCACTATTTATATTAGTGATACTGTACCACTATTCATATGAGTGATACTGTACCACTATTCATGTTAGTGATACTGTACCACTATTCATGTTAGTGATACTGTACCACTATTCATATGAGTGATACTGTACCACTATTCATATGAGTGATACTGTACCACTATTCATGTTAGTGATACTGTACCACTATTCATATGAGTGATACTGTACCACTATTCATATGAGTGATACTGTACCACTATTCATATGAGTGATACTGTACCACTATTCATATGAGCGATACTGTACCACTATTTGTATGAGTGGTACCACTATTTATATGAGTGATACTCAAATTTGAAGCAATGGAACCAAGACCTTGCAGGCTGCTTGAGTTATGTTGCTGGGGCCCATCACAAAGCATTCGTTGCACTACAGTATAGTTTCAATATGTCTTAACACTTTGAATTCTTTGTGAATTGGAACCCAGGAATTCAATATGTGGTTTGTAATGTAGTTCTGTACAATATCATGTGACAATTTGTCTTAGTAACTTAGATTCTACAATTGAAACCTATTTGTTTCAAGGTTAGTTGAAAACTTTAATACAGTGTTATATGAAGAATGGGAAATCTCATTAGAAGCCTGCCCACACATGCAAGTCTGTTGGGGATCAAAAATTGCAAATGAAAATAGAATATTTTCTTTTGGGAAATAACATAAAGTCTGAAAATGGAGTTTCTGAAATTGCTTTGAATATAAACATATCTGCTGTGTCATAAAGAAATGTAAAGTGGAGTGAAGTTTTCCTTCAGCATCTGACATTTGGGTTGGTATTTATAACATTGATAATTCAGAGGTTTGGGGTAGCCCTGTGGTACAGCTTTAACTTACCACTTCAAACACCCAGGTTCAATTCCCTTCATGGGGACAAGAGGTAAAGCCAGTTTCTTGTGTCACCTGCGGGAATATTTGTGGAATATTTCTGTAATACCCGGTACCATGTAATAGTGCTGTGATATTGTGTGGTAGTGTTGCTGGAATATTATCTCTTGACTGCATTAAATAATGGTAGAATATTTTGGAAATATTTCTGAAATATTGGTGGAAATTTGCAGCAAATATTGGTAGAATGTTTGCATAATATTGCTGTAATTTATTGCTAAACAAAAGTGGCATATGTGGAATAATGGTTGAATTTGGGGGCTTATTGCAATAATATTGATGAAATAAAGATGTAGTGTTCTTATAATTTGGGTGGAATATTGGAAGAATAAAGGTTATGTATTGCTGGAATAATGTTGCATGCACTGGAAAAATAATGATTTATTGCATGAAAATTCCTGGAACTCTGATGTAGCATTGGTTCAAGCAGCCTCAAACAGGTTGACTTAAACATAGCAGGTGTAATGCTTTAGTCAACTGTAGTGATGTTTACTTCCCATGAAGAATGTCATAAATGGAACATCAGTGTTTACATAATGTATACATTACACATTATTATAAAAACGTTTTTCAAAACATACTGTACGAAATAAACATCTTGTTCGAAAATGACAAAACTTCCCACTCAACCACGCTGAGGTAGATAAATCTGGAGAGAAAAACATTAGCTGAACAACTATTTACGACTTGAACCATTAAGTTGCATGTGAAATCCACAAAGGTGCATCATCCGCGTGATTATGAAACCGACGTCGGTGATGGCTGTGTTGCCTGCTACTCTGACTATGCTATGCTGCAATGTACATGTGTTGATTTCTCCTGATTGTTTTAGCAGACAAGTGATTGGCATCACTACCACTTGCTGTGTTACACTGGCATGATGCACACAGCAAACAAACACGGAGGTGTTTGTCTCAACAGTCCTGGATGTGAACCAAGAAGGTAACGTGATAGGAGGTGCTAGATTGTACCGTACATCCTCTGCTGGAGTGTGTGGGATGGACGTAGCTGTGTTCATCAGGGGAGATTTATTGGGTGATTCTGGTTGCAGATTGGTATATATTTGTTGTGCTGGTTGAATGTTTGATGAATGTTTGAGTGTGTCACTTAGGACATTGAGATCAGGGAACATTTTCTTTTTATTCAGGTTGGAGATTGGTATATATACATACCTTGTTGAAAAACTATTACAGTCTGTGAATCTCTATAAGGGAGTCCTATTGAATAATTTATTTAGTGTGAGGGAGTAGTGTTTCACACAACTTTGAGCAATATTCTAGCAATATCTCGGCATGGTACACCAGAAATGGGCTTCACACATTGTACCCATGACGGAAATCAAACCCAGGCCTTGTATATGTCAAACAAATGCTTTAACCATTAAGCCACCCGACTGCCTGTAATTGTAATTGCATACTGGTGTGAATATATCATACTGGTGTGAATATGTCATACTGGGGTGAATATGTCATACTGGTGTGAATATATCATACTGGTGTGAATATATCATACTGGTGTGAATATATCCTACTGGTGTGAATATGTCATACTGGTGTGAATATATCATACTGGTGTGAATATATCATACTGGGGTGAATATATCATACTGGGGTGAATATATCATACTGGGTGTGAATATATCATACTGGTGTGAATATATCATACTGGTGTGAATATATCATACTGTAGTGAATATATCATACTGGTGTGAATATATCATACTGTAGTGAGATGCTTGTAAACTTGATGCCTATATTCTCCAGATATCAATAAAATTAATTACCTAGTTTGATGTTGGCGGTCTACTCTTTTAAGTGTACAATTCGGTGTACTAAATTTAATATAAAAGATTGGACTTACATTTGGAATGATATATGGTTTTATATCCTTTGTATTTCAGCCAAGAATATCTATAAGCTTGCTTTCTAAGAATATCTAAGTTGTCTTAACAGAAAACAAGAATGTGTTCATTGCCAAAAATATTGATTAAAATGAAGGCTGGCCTTTTAAGTGACAATTTTGTATTCAACTTAAGAAGAATTTTTTGGTTACATACCCAGAGATGATAATTAGGATGGCACTTTATTAGACAATGACTGGTTGGCTTGGTGTCTGGGGTATCAGTGTTGAAGTCTTTTAAGGTTAAGCTGACCCTGCACTCTGGAATGAACTCCAGCCAAATATCCAGCAAATCAATGACTGTGACTTATTTCAAAGTGAGCTCAAGACTCTCCTGTTCAAGCGAGCCTATGACCTGCACCTTTGAGCAAATTTTGGATTTAGGTGCACTACAAATATGAACTTTAATAAAGTTGGGGATGGTATCGCGTGGACATTAGGCTGGACTTATGTCAGCAGTCGCACATGCATGCATGCACACATCAAGTACTCCATGTATTAATGCAATAATCTTGAATGTGACTTTAAATAATGTGTTACACCAACTCTCCTCATTACAGAGTTATTAAAGTACAACCTGCGTGTAATTCTTGGGCACAGGTGGCGAGGAGATGGAATTTGCTGTGTAGAGTTATGCCCCTTAGATGTCCCAGTACCTTCTGATCATAGGTTCAAATCCCAGAGGGCAGTGGGGTAGCCAAGTTGTTAAAGCACTCACTCATCACGCCGAAGACCCCTGTTCGATTCCCCACATGGGTACAATGTGTGAAGCCAATTTCTGGTGTCCCCCGCCATGATGTTGTTGGAATATTGCTAAAAGCAGCATAAACCTAAACTCACTCACTCGGATCAACACTGGATATGGTTTTTGATTTGTCAACACCATACCAGTGTACAAGGATTTCAAAGCCTGCCCTCCTTCAAAATTCAGGCTGATCAGAAATATGTTTCTAAATAGCGCTGACCCAAACTGGCTTACAGTGAGATATCACTTAGGTTGACATTTCCATTCATCAGATGCACTCTCGTTCCATCCCTTATTCATCTCTCAGGTATCAAGATCGATGCTCATGCTGTTGATCCCTTGATTGCCTGGTCCAGACCTGATTATTTACCGACTGCAGCCATATAGCTGGAATATTGCTGAGTGTGGCGTAAAACTAAACTCACTCACTCACTCTAAGGTATCAAGCCTGAAACATCAGTAAAAAACAAAGAAATGAGTAAAATTAAAACAACTTGGCTGACCATAAAATATGAAACATGTTTATCTGCTAACATGCATTGATGTTCCTCCATGCCCTAATTCTGTGACTTTGCTTCATGGTCTTGTTTCACCACAAATGTCTATTAAGCATCCTTGAGGAGCTGTTTAAGATCAATGACCAGGGAGTTCTGGTGACTTTGTAATGAGCTATTGAGTATATTGGCTCTAGAGATTATCACTCAGTCAAGTGTGTTGACATGAGCCCTGGTCAGTCCAGTGTCAGGTGGACTTGTTTAGCGGAGCTGAGTAAAGTTAAACAGCACAGAACCACCTTCCATAAAGGGATCTTGTTTCTAAGACAACTGTAATGTTTGTTGTGATGTTTAGTGTGCACTCAACAGTCTTCAAGCTAAATGATGTCAGTTTGTGAACACTCGAGTCATGTCAACAATCCAGTGACTGACATCATGAGCATCAATGTAAACAATTAGCAGATGATAGCATCCATCATACAAGTCAGCAAGTCTGATCGTCCAATCCTGTGAGTTGTCTCAGGACAGTCATAAGTCGCTGAAGACCAACTCTAACTAGGATCTTGGCAGCATAATGAAACTTTTAGCATCGGCACTGAAGCAGGAATAAATACGGTAACGTCAAGTCGTAATACACACAAACATTCAAAGGTTGTCAGAACCTTCTTGGAATAAAGTACCAATCCTGACGTCATTATTTGATTACTACCGGGCCCAGACCAGGATATTGGTGAGTATACATTTCATTCATATCTCTCAACTCTTCAGTTCTCGTTGTGACGTAATTAACTATTCTAGGAAGCCATTATGTGTCTTTATGCGTTTCAGAATCTTGCCTGTATCAAATGTATAATTTAGCATGTTGACAAGCAGTGTATGGAAGTCAAGAGTCCTTACTGTAATGATGGAACTGAGATACTTTGCCGGTAAACCACAAGGACTTATAAGTACTCCATACCCACCTTAGTTTGGAACAGTGATGACTATTTGCAGGTGAACCTAGGGTTGCAACAAGTGTCTGGACTTTTTGTGCATTGCAATAATTGGTACCATGGTACATATAATTGTGCTTGGTGGCCACGGAGAATCCTTGGATGGGTGACCGTGTTTGGCAGCTTGACTCCTGAGAGTTTCTAAGACTTCTGCCCTGTCCCGAAACGAAGCACACCTGACACATGTGATCTCACATTAGGCAAGTGAGTCTGTTCAAAATTGCCTCTGTTCACCCAGCAGAAAATGGGTACTCAGTGGGATAAGTCATATGACGATTAACCTTCTAGCGCCTCACAGGCAGCTTGGGTTATCCGGGGCAATAATGTCCATTATGTTGCATGCACTTAGAGCATGTCCCTGCATGTCCAGCTATATATATGGCCTTGTAATTATCATTACACTTATATTAAGCCACCTGAGTTGTAGTGGACAGAATGTCTGCGCTGGAAATGAGAGGTCAGTGGACCGATCTCAGAGTCATTCACAACTTTATTTAAAGGTGGTACTTGTTGTTGCACTGCCTGGCAAGTGAGGGGACTGGTCAGGTCGGGGTCAGGTCGGGGTCAGTATACTCTGTTTGAATGGGGTAACAACTTTTGTCTCAGTGGGTGAGCATGTCGATACATATTTTAAACATGCTTTGAAATCCGAGGGGTGGTGGGGTAGCCTAGTGGTTAAAGTGTTCGCTCGTCATGCCAAAGACACGGGTTCGATTGTGTGAAGCCATTTCCGGTGTCCCCGCCGTGATATTGCTGGAATTTTGCTAAAAGTGGCGTAAAATCCCACTCACTCACTCACTCACTCACTCACTCACTGTTTGTGTCTGTTTACCTCCCTTTGATACTGATACCGTGGTTACATAATGCATAAATATGTAAATTAATATTAGTTAAATATCAACAAATGTAAATATTCAAACCAGTTATCACAATCCCTGACCGTATTTGGTTAGAGTTTACACAGGACTTAGTTTTCGTTAATGAAGAATTGTGGCCAGAAAGTGTGCTGATTCTTCAAGTGGCCTGCTTCATGAAAGAAGCAACTCGATCCTGAGTGTGTAACACTTACTGGTCCTAATCAGTACAGGGGTGAGCAACCCTAGCCCCAGCTAATTGTGTTAATGGTGTAGTGTGTTCACGTTCAATTTGCTGACCCATTAACTACACACTCAATCTGCCATGGGAGAACACACACTAGGCATCTAATGTGGCTTGTGTCTACCTTGGCTCAAGTGGGGCTGTATAAGCCACACACACACATATACCACACACATGATTGATGAACTTCAGGGATCTCCAGAACCCCTGACAATCAAGTTTACCTTTTTTAGATTAGTAGTTATTTTTGGAAATATTTCTTATGAATCTTTTTTTTCTGTTTTATTTTTCATCCTTCATGCCTTTTTTGATTGTGTTGTGACTTTGTGACTGTCATTCTTTTATTAGAAAGTTGTTTAGTTTTGCAGCTTGCATGTGTGGTTTAACTTTATTGTTGACAATATTCCTTGGTTATTGTGTCTGGGACACCCAGGGTGGGCTTTAGATGTTGTAGCATGTGGGGATTGGGATATAAACCAGTTTTGTTTCCATGTTATGCAGTGTCTTTAGTGTCTCCTACACACCTGAATTGCTGATCTCCCGACCTGATATCATGAACCCTAACCCTGATATCAGGCTGACCATGAAGGTGATCAGAAAAAGAGTAACAGGAAGAAAAGAAACACTTTTTCAATTGTTTGTTTTTATTTATTAACAAAGTATAAGAAATTACAATTACAAGCACATTTTTTGCATACATTTGACCATGAACCCTAACCCTGATATCAGGCAGACCATGAACCCTAACCCTGATATCAGGCAGACCATGAACCCTAACCCTGATATCAGGCAGACCATGAACCCTAACCCTGATATCAGGCAGACCATGAACCCTAACCTGATATCAGGCAGACCATGAACCCTAACCCTGATATCAGGCAGACCATGAACCCTAACCCTGATATCAGGCAGACCATGAACCCCCTAACCCTGATATCAGGCAGACCATGAACCCTAACCCTGATATCAGGCAGACCATGAACCCTAACCCTGATATCAGGCAGACCATGAACCCTAACCCTGATATCAGGCAGACCATGAACCCTAACCCTGATATCAGGCAGTCCATGAACCCTAACCCTGATATCAGGCAGACCATGAACCCTAACTCTGATGTCAGGGGAACCCTAAGACCATGAACCCTAACCCTGATATCAGGCAGACCATGAACCTAACCTGATATCAAGACCATGAACCCTAGTCCTGATATCAGGCAGACCATGAACCCTAACTCTGATGTCATCAGGCAGGCAGACCATGAACCCTAACTCAGGCTGATGTCAGGCAGACCATGAACCCTAACCCTGATATCAGGACCAGAACCCTAACCCTGATACAGACCATGAACCCTAACTCTGATATCAGGCAGACCATGAACCCTAACCCTGATATCAGGCAGACCATGAACCCTAACCCTGATATCAGGCAGACCATGAACCCTAACTCTGATATCAGGCAGACCATGAACCCTAACCCTGATATCAGGCAGACCATGAACCCTAACCCTGATATCAGGCAGACCATGAACCCGTAATTATTATGATCTGTGATATCAGACTGTAATATGATCTGTGATATCAGACTGTAATATAAACTGTTACTCAGATATTGGACTGACCATGAATTGTTACTCTGATATCAATCTGATTATACTGCTGGTTATTTATGAAATTTTGTGTTTTGCACTTTGATGGTTGGTACTTGATATTTTCGGTTTACCTGCATAGTTTTGCTTATATTGTCAGATCCCAAAACATAAGTTAGTTCAGTTTATTTATATCGCTGTTCTTCTGTAATTCATCTCTGGAACAATGTTTTTAGTATAATATGGACAAACTTGATGGGTAACAAATTCTTTTATTTTGTGAGTGTGACATTTCGGTTGCACTCATGAAATAAAAGAAGTTGTTATCCATAAAGTTTGTCTATACTGTACTTCCCAACATCTAAAATGCCTCTCAAAGAATTGTTTATAGTTTTGACAACCATTTCCCTGACTTAATGTAACTACAATCAGGTTTTCCCTTTACAGCAGTGTGTCATCAGTGATCAGTACTCGCCAGGACAATGCAGTGAGAGGAGAAGTAGTACTCCCTTACTCACAGACGTGCGTCTACCTTCCCATTCAGCCTGCCATTGTCTTAGTGTGACCAGCTATCAGTGCAGGCCGGCCTGTCAAACCCACCATTGACTGGGATCTGCCGTTCAGTCTGTGACGTGCACCGTACCACACTATACAGACAGGATCTGCCTTTGGGAGAACTTTGTGTGTAATCTTGTGTGAGACTTACAGACAGCTATACTATTGACTTGACTATACCACTGACGTAACTAACGATACCAGTGAGAGAACTAAACTGGAGACAGCTATACCAATTAGACTGCTATACCAGTGAGAGGGCTATCAAGGAAGCAATACCATTGACACTTCTATCAAGAAGCTATACCATGGATTAAGACAACCGTAAAGACAGTTACACATCGTGACAGCTACACCATTGACAGTTCTACCATCATCCCTGTACCACGTTGTGGACTGTACACAGTTAAGACTGTACTCTATCTAGACTGTACCCAAGTGGAGACTGTACACTACCTAGACTGTGCCACACCATCAGGACTGTACATCATTAAGACTGTGCCGTATCGTGGAGACTGTTTCACTAACACAGAGTGTTGTACCACTGGGACGGAGTTGAGGCTGTAGAAGTGAAGAGCCTGCATTGACTGTTACAGAGAGGCGACTTTCTGTGATTTCCTACAATACTAACAGTATCCTTGCTCTGTACCGACATGGCGGGACACGGTCAACATGCACTACTTCTCTGGGTTCTCCTGGCATCCTCTGCCGTCCACCTCTCCACGGGTAAGTGTGCAGCTTCGAGCATCAGGTGTCTAACACATGGCTCTCATTAACTTGTGTTTCTACAAATGGGCTAAATTCTAGTGTTAATACCTTACAGCATGTTGAGGAATATTGTTTGTTATTTATATTTTTGGGTAATTTTTTTGTCAACATTGTATTGTGTCCACTAAAAGTGTTAAAATATCGAGTAATATCATTTCTGGATATTTACTGCGTTGAAGAATGATTTTATGAAAATACAACTTCTATATTCTGTGAAAGGCTTCATTTTGACATAGATTTTAATGTCATTGTCAAGCATAGCGTTAGCAAGACATTAGGACCTATGTCGAAACATCGCCTTTCACAGAATTCAGAAGTTGTATCATCATTCTTCATCAGCTCAACTTCTAAAATGCCTATCAAAGAAATTAACTGTGTTATAGTTCAGTGCAACATGTCTGTAGAGATGTCAGTCCTATTCGGTTGTAGAGCACTTGCTTCATGTTGGTTGAAGAAACTTTGTCTTCATAGGTTCTAAGTGTTCCAAAATGACTCTTAAAGACAGGTCGATGAGTCAGTGAATGGTTTGTTCACAATTAAACAATGTTGTTGGTGTTATCTATTGAGTAAAGTAGGTGTAAATATTTCCTGGAAGCAGATTGCAGATGATTTAAAAGTATATTCACCTCAATACTAGGGAGCAATCATTTCAGAATATGGGTGGATGTGGAAGTGAAAGAAGTAAACAACCTCTCAAAATGTCTAAACATGGGTTCCATTGTAGGTAAAAAATAATTTGCCCTATTCTTGAAGACAGGCATCCAAAACATACATTTAGCTATTTCTTGACTATATTTAAGCACATCTTAATGTTCAAAAACAACTTGGGCCCTTAAACATTAAATCTCCAAATCTTAATAACATACTTAAATCTTGACAAATATTTTGTTTTAGATTTCTGAACTTGTGAAGATTACTGAATGTGAAGAGATAACTTTTTACTATGGAAGAAATCTGTATTCAGGCTAAAGATTTAAGGTTGATAGCAGACTCAGTGATGTTCAAGGCGTAACTCTAGTGTATGTAAGAGCTGAAAGGAAACCAAAGACTCAGTGATGCTCAAGGCGTTACTCTAGTGTATGTAAGAGGCTGAAAGGAAACCAAAGACTCAGGCTCCTTCACAGAGTTCATTGATTAAAAGGTGGTGAAATTGTTGCTACTTGACAGGTCCTAGAGCCTCACATGTTTAGCTCACCGTGATCATACGGCCTTATGTATTGTACAGTTAAGATCTATCTAGAAATGGTGTCATTTAGCTGATATTTAGGGCATTGTTCTGATGCTTATATATGATTTGTTTGTTTGTTTGTTTAATGCTGCACTCTGCAATATTACAGCTATATGGCGGCAGTCTGTACATAATCTAATCTGGACCAGACAATCCAGTGATCAACAGCATGAGCATTGATCTATGCAATTGGGATATAATGACGATATATACAAACTATTGCAAGTTGGACTGGTCTCTTAATGATGATTTTGCAGCACAAAAGATTTGAATATGCTATATATACTGAACATCATTGAAAACGCACCACCTGTAAATTTTGAAATATGGTAATAGGATTGTTTTGAGAGTGAAAATGAACGTTGGAAATGTTGTTAATAACACAAAAGACAATAAATAATGCTGTACAGTAAAGAACGGATTGCCCGAACACATCATGGAACAACACATCACATGACAACAACAAAATTCATGCACAACACACACGAAAAGCAGAAAATGCATGCGTAAAACATGCTGATTAGGGGTATAAATGACCGTCGGCAAAAAAACGTTCTCATTTTAGCTGTACTTCCACAAGTAAAGTTTATTTTGCAATGCCAAGATTGTCACCAGAGGAACGAGAACGGGCGTTAGGCATGTTGCAGGTTGGCACATCAAGGATTATTGCCAGACGATTTGGTTGCCATCATTCCACCATCATAAGATTTGCCAACAGGTACCAACAAACAGGAACCACCAGGGACCGCCAACGTCCTGGCCAGGCACGTGTTACCACCCCTTGCCAACATCGAGACATTGTTCGACGCCATATTCGGGATTATACGTTGCCGGCTGCCAGAACCGCCAACGCTGTCCAAGGCCGACGTGGTTTGATCAGTGCTTCCACCGTCCGGACTTGGTCTCCGTGCGGCAGGATTACAGTGTCGACGCCCTTATGTTGGACCCATCCTGACTGATAGACATCACCTTGAACGCCGACGATGGGCTGAACAGCATCGTTTGTGGTTGTTACGACGTTAGCATGGTGTTGTGTTCTCTGACGAGTCACGTTTTCACTTGCGACATGCTGACGGGTGTATACAGGTATGGCGGTGACGGGGAGAACGTTACCATCAGGACTGTATTGTGCAAACAGATTGGTGGGGTGGAGGAAGCATTATGGTGTGGGGAGGGATCAGTTATCATCACAAAACCGCTTTGGTAGTTTGTCGTGGCAGAGTGAATGCCCTTTACTACCGTGACACCATTCTTCAGAACAATGTCGTTCCCTTCTTTAACCAACATCAAGATCTGCACACATTTCAGCAGGACAATGCTTGAGCGCACACTGCGTGTGTTGCAACACAGTTTCTGGCAAACAACAACATTCCTCTACTTCCATGGCCTGCATTGTCACCAGATTTGTCTCCCATTGGGATTACATCGCCCAACGCCTCTCACATCACCCACAGATCAACAACCTTGGGGAACTTGAGAATGCCTTGCAACAAGAGTGGAATGCATTGCCTCAAAACATTATTCAGAGACTTAGCAGTTCAATGAGGAGACGTTGCACAGCTTGTGTTTCTGCTAATGGTGGTCATACACGTTACTGACTTTCCAATTTGACTCCATCTTTCTTTCATGGTCAGCAGAAATAAGACTTCACTGTTTTGCTGGATTGTTCTTGTTTCTTTTCTTTACCAATCATTGGACTACAAAAGTATGTAAAATTTACACTGATTGCTCATTTATGCTCTTGGAAATCCAAACTAATACAGGTGGTGCGTTTTCAATGATGTTCAGTATATATTGAGATGTTTTGATGATATACTGCCATCCCAGGAGTATACAGCATTTCATCATGAGGTGATAAGGGGCAGTGGGGTAGCATAGTGGTTAAAGAGTTCACTCATCACGCCAACAACCTTGGTTCAGTTCTTCACATGGGTACAATGTGTGAAGCCCATTTCTGGTGTCCCCCGATGTGATATTGCTGGAATATTGCTAAAATCGGCGTACACCAACTCACTCACTCATGAGGCGATACTCCAGTGTAGGTCCAGTGTGTAGTCTTCAGCAACCTATGCTTGTCATGAGAGGTGACAGGATTGGGAGGTCAGACTCAATTAGGTGGTATATAATTCAAAATTAAGATATTTGAACCATGAACCTTCTGATTAGAGGTCAAACACATTGTCCACATGACCAAGAGGTGAATCTCTCAGTAGACAGACAAGGTGACTTCTTTGAGGGGCATTTACAAGTTTGTGTGATGAACAACGGGGAAAGTTATATGGATATGCAACTTCTTCATTATCAATGTAAGAGACGTTTTGCTGGAATGACTTTATCAATGTAAGTGATGTTTCGGTGGAAGGATGCTATCAATGTAAGCGACGTTTCGGTGGAATGACATTATCAATGTAAGAGACGTTTCAGTGGAATGATGTTATCAATGTTAGAGACGTTTCGGTGGAATGACGTTATCAATGTAAGCGACGTTTCGGTGGAATGACATTATCAATGTAAGAGAAGTTTCAGTGGAATGATGTTATCAATGTAAGAGACGTTTCGGTGGAATGATGTTATCAATGTAAGAGACGTTTCGGTGGAATGACGTTATCAATGTAAGAGACGTTTCGGTGGAATGATGTTATCAATGTAAGAGACGTTTCGGTGGAATGATGTTATCAATGTAAGAGACGTTTCGGTGGAATGATGTTATCAATGTAAGAGACGTTTCGGTGGAATGATGTTATCAATGTAAGAGACGTTTCGGTGGAATGACGTTATCAATGTAAGCGATGTTTCGGTGGAATGATGTTATCAATGTAAGAGACGTTTCGGTGGAATGATGTTATCAATGTAAGAGACGTTTCGTGGAATAGCGTTATCAATGTAAGCGGCCGGTGGAATGATGTTATCAATGTAAGAGACGTTTCGGTGGAATGATGTTATCAATGTAAGAGACGTTTCGGTGGAATGATGTTATCAATGTAAGAGACGTTTCGGTGGAATGATGTTATCAATGTAAGAGACGTTTCGGTGGAATGACGTTATCAATGTAAGCGATGTTTCGGTGGAATGATGTTATCAATGTAAGAGACGTTTCGGTGGAATGATGTTATCAATGTAAGAGACGTTTCGGTGGAATGACGTTATCAATGTAAGCGATGTTTCGGTGGAATGGCTCCATGCCCCAATGCTAGTGCTACAATGACGAGCATCATATACTAGTTGCCTAGATCTGTGCTCATGATGTCTGTAACTGGTTTGTTGGGTCCAGCTCAAGTATTTACAAAAGGCTGGAATGTTGCTAATTGTGGCAATGCTTTAGGGCTCTGGACAAGACTCTCATGTAAATTTTACAATTGTAAAATTGAAAATGATTTCAGCAAGAATTTCACTCAAGAAGATAATTTCCTTTGGCATGAAATACTCCTCATACATCATAACTATATTTTTTCATTATGTTATGTCAGGCTAGGAAATACCACCTACAAATATTTCGATAGCCTGAAATTTAGGAGAGAGCTAAAATCGTCTACAGACTCTTGACTTGAGAGTTGTTGAGTGAGTATGTAACTTTTCCATTACCGTCAAGTGGTCCAGTGGTATGATTCAGAGGCTGCCAGACTTCACATGTAGATTCAAGCCTCCTCCAGCCTAACAAGCAAACACTGTCACCATTAGGCTACTCACATACTTGACCAATTGCCAGCAGATATGTCAGCTTCTCTTGCCA